TATAGTTGAGGCGCTAATGTGATGTACGGAAGCAGATCCCTTGAATAAGACTCTAGATGCATCAGATGTTACCCCTGCTCCTACTTGCAAGCTTCCGACGCAGCCGTTTGGAAGCCGGGGGCCGGGTAGACCGGGTCCCCTAGGCACTAAGTTCCGAACTTGTCCCGAACGCGCCCAAACGCGTCTGATACAACATATCCACTTGCTATCGTAATGTATTTCTACGCATTCCACAGCCTGCAAGCCCACCCTCATAGCCGCAGTAGTTAAGCACAGTAGTCTGGCGTTCTCTAGTCAGTTGATGAGGTGGTTGATCACGTTGCCGCCGTGGCCGCTATGCAGCCAAAGCTTTAGGATTCATCGATACATGCGATTGTTTTTGCGGTACGGCACTGCTGTCTAGTGCTAGTCTCTAGATAGTTTGAACTCCGCAAGTCCTATTGTATCGGTTATATCGATCCGGAGTTGATTGGGTGTGGCAGACCGATAAAGGTGGCTTCCGACTACCTTATCAATGCCCGGGTAATTGAAAGCAACTGCTAGCGCTGACTGCCTAGCAGGCCGCGTCATTTAAGTCTGGGCTAGGGGTGAAAATACCTTTACAGTGCGGGGTCAGTCGGATAGCACAGGTTTCTATCCGGGCCTCTTGCAGTACGACTAGTGGTCTAAAGGAGCAAACCCGGACCAATAGTGGCACAGATTCATTCATGGCAAACAACGCTGGCCAAGCTATACTAGCAGATCCCATGGGCAGACTCTGCAAGCAACTGTTTAAACTTTCATTTTGTTGGTAGGCCTTGTACGATCGTACGGGTGAATAACAACAACGAGGTTCTTCTGGTGACTGGTATTGGTATTGATTGTCTACGAACGTTCGTGCTACGAAGGTACACCTAAGCTCTGCGCAAGGTAGGCCGAAGTCGGGCCGAAGTGTCAAGCAGCCGACGTCTCTACCGATACTCACGATCCGACACATTTGCTAATTGTAGACACGAAGGCGGCTGATTCGGCCCGATTTGAGCAGTGAATCAAGTATGGAGGAGCGCGTCAAAAGTCTTCGCGACAGGGGTAGACAGCGCACTGACGCACCACAGGTCTTGGCATTTTCTGTTTCGACGTGGCCTTCCTGAAGGGAAAACTTTTTCGGACAACCCCATCTACTATTCGGACAACCCCAAAAGTTCAGATGAGACGAAAGATCAGACGACCAAAATAAGCCGTGAAAAACATCTACAGTAATCGACACCTTTCGACAGTTGCCTAATTGGGTTATTTGTTGTAGAAATAAGGTTTTGGGTAGGGGTCTCGGCAGCCCCCGTAGGGGTCTCAACAGTGTCAATTTCTGGGTCTCCGAAATCAATATACTATTCCTGTCGGATCGTGAGTATCGGTAGAGACGTCGGCTGCTGGACACTTCGGCCCGACTTCGGCCCACCTTGCGCAGAGCTTAGGTATACCTTCGTAGCAGCTGTGTTCGTAATAAATCACCATCACCGAACAGAATGCATTCCTAGTTATCGTTATTTCCTTTCAGCACTAGTGCTATAGACCTTCCAACAATTCCCCAATTTTGAGTGGAAAATGTCGTATTTTGGTGACATTTGCCACCTAACCCACCCAAATCCTCCACCACCTCCGCGGCCACACCACACCTCCACGTCACGGCGCAATTATACCAAAAGCTAGGAGCTGATTTCAATGGCATTGATTGTGATGTAGTAAAATTTCAAAAAAGATTGATCAAGGGGTGGTGGAGTTGTGCATGATCTTGGAGTAACCAGTATGCGGAAAGAAACTCAAAATGGAGCCCCCAACACCAACCTAGCCAATACAAAGCAAACCTAGGGTATACCGCGGTCGGGGATGCTTCTGGCAGCTTCTAATAACGTCCATGAACGCCGTAGAACGAAATCGCATGAAAAACAATGAACTTTTGGAGACTTTTGGATGAGATGAACCCTTGGGTTGACCTAACAATGAATCGTACGAAGGCGTACGCAACCTAGGGCTTACAGTACCTGTAGCAATCGCTATTTGTACGCGTTTTAATTATAACGGAGGCCTCTTATTGGTCTAAATAGCTCCGGTATACCCAAATAATTGTGAGCTGCTCAAGCAAGCAAGCCCGACTGAGCATTAGTCTTCTTAACTACTATTTCGACGTCTTTTGGAGGGGTGAATTGAAGGTTTCTTAGGTTATGGAGCTTTGCGCTTCTTCCTGGGTTGTTTGGGGGGTGAATCATGGTCAATATCGATGCTGTTAATGTTAATTGTCAAGCGTCAAGGTTGGGGAGAATCATCATCTCGTATTAGAGCTATCGGGAAGAGGTCTATATACGCAGTGGGAGGAGAGAAGGAGCTAGGCCGTAAAGGTACTAGCGGGTAAATAGGTGGCTGCCTGGTTGCCCAAAGAGGAGCCAAGGGATAAGCCCTATGGCCGACATTAATAAAGTCATCATGAACCTGTTGAGGCTTCTCTACAGCCTGGAGACGCTTAGAAAGCTCCGCCTGGTTTGCCAGAACCTTTTCAAGTACACCAAGGATACGATCATTAGCTGTTGGCTTCTTAGTAACCTTCCTGACGACCCTCTTGGCTGTACGGGTAACTAAAACCTCCTGGACGATTACCTCATCGTCAGAACTGCTTTCTTCGGCAGAGGATATCTCAACTGGGTCCTGCATGTTCTCCAGGACCTTCTGGGTTGGCTGACGACGTCGGTTGCCTCGGCGAGGCTCTATATCGTCGTCAGAAGCTTCCTCAGCTTGCTGGGTTTGCTGGGTAGCTTGTACGTGTTCGTTCCTCGTCTTTTCTCGGGGTTGACGTTGAGGTTGGCGTCCGCGGAGGCTTTGAGAGACTTGTGTTGAAGGCAAGGTGACTGTTGTGGAACCCTGTGGGCGTCCTTTAGGCCTTATCTTTTCAGGATCAAGTATATATCGTTCGTCTTGCACCTCCTCACCGCGTGCGCGCGGCGGGTGATACCACCAGTGTTGGTGAATGTCCTTTGGATCAATAACGAGTCCCCCGGGTTCGTTGAGTTGACGGTGAAGTGTATGCTTACAAGGCAGCCCAAACTTCATAGAGAAAGCGCCTGAACACTCCTCAAGCTCGTCATAACGCTCATCCTTGGCTAGCAGTAACTGCTCCTTCAGCTTACGGAGGCCTTGGTGGCTTACCTTTCGATGAAGGCGTGCAAACTCGAGCAGGAGGCAGTCAGTTGCATGCCTGGCTTCATCCAGTTGTAGGTGTCCGTCATGCTCATTTCGCTGTACAAGCACTAATTGATGGATGTCCAAAACGACGTCGTAAATGTGGCCAGCTTTCCAGGAAGTAAGGGCAAGCTTCAGCTGGCGATGAGCTCCTTCAACGCGAGAGGTGGCTTTCTGGCCAAAGTCGGGAAAGAACTTACATATACACTCTGCCCATTCGTGGTAATGGGGCAACTGGTGAGCTTTTAGGTACTGCAGAAGCGCTGGAAAGCCAGCATAGCTCTCCCAAATCTGCTCCTTTAAAGCCCAAAAGGCATCTTCGGTAGGGCAGGATACTAAGCTCTGCCAAACCTGGATGAAATCAAGCCTAGCTTTCTCGATAACGTCCTTCTCCTCCGCTGTAGCAACCCTCCGAACGTCCCAAGCTTTCACAGCTTCAGTTTGGACGTTTTGATATATATGCCAAATGCAGCGACGCTGCGGGATGCCTGGAAAGATAACGGATAACCCAGCTTTAAGAGACCTATCGTGATCGGTCAAGAAACACTTTGGGGAGACGCTGAGGTAGTCGAAGAGCTCCTTCAGGTATTGTACGACCTCTAGGTAGGTCTCCGCGGCTTCATTTGGGATGAAGGCGTACGCAATGTCGTACGTTGTTGCCCGGCAAGTGATACCCACGATATGAACCAGCGGCATGTTGAAGGCGTTCGTTTTGTACGTAGCATCAATCTCAACAACGTCTGGGTTACACTTGATAAGCTCAAAGGCGCGTGGGTGAGCAAAGAAAATGATACGGGCACGACCTTGATCATCCTGGGTTATCTTATGCCAGAACTTGGTATCCTCGTTACCGCTGTCATCACAAGAGTATGTTGAGAGGAACTCAGCCAGCGCTTGAATACGTGTACGGCCACCAAGCTCCTCGCAGCGGAGCTTCGCCAACTCATTTGATACATCTGAGCGTATTATATTGGCTCCCGCCGAACGTTCCTTTCTTAGTATCTTCATGGCTGAGTCGCGATTGCTCTTCGCGCCCTTGATGCGCTCTAGTAAAGCTTCATCGCGCTTCCGGAACTGCGGCAAAGCAAGTACACCAGCAGCAGGATGGTTGTGACGCCCATCTTCCGTAGTGAATTGCCATCCAGAAGCTCCAGAAGCTCCTTCGGCTTCTACCCACCTCATGCGTCCTTTCCACTCACAGGCAGTCATTCTGGAGCTCTGTTTCCGCTTGTTGCTACCAGTCGAGCTATACGTTCTACCTTGTGCACACCGCAATACAGCTCCGCAAACTGTCCTCACCGGATTTGCCCTTGAGGGCTTCGTGTAGAGCGGGGTCCTAATGTTGATGGCGAATCCTGTGTTCATCAAAAGGCGATTTGCTTCCTGAACAGCTTCAGTATGGGTTGGGAGGTTGATAAGGGCGGGAAGAGCAGCTCCGGGTGGTACCCAACGAAGGTCTTCGCGGTCAGGATCCCATGTTGTCGCGTAGGCATCATTCTCACTGTCGGAAGGCTCGTTTTCGGTCATTTTTGAGGTTGAATGGGTGGAGGGATCAACGCATTTGTTGTTGTTCGTGGGGTAGTCGCGATCGGAGAGCCGACCCCACCTGAGCGGGTGGGGAGAAGCCACAATATTGCGATGAATTGTTTCCACACAACTACAAATTGGATCTAGGAGATTTTTGGTGTTTTGGAATCGCGGGATCCTGTTTCGTAATTACCGAACGATAAAAGTGCTGCGACGGGTCGATGTTGGGGTTGCACCTGGGGCTCAAAACTTGGAGGTCTTAATAGATTTTGGTGTTCGGCTGTTGGACCCTGATCTTGGCACTTCCGCGGTGGTGCGCACGGACGCCGCAGCGTCCCCCATCAAAAAGCGACATCGTCAAAAGGAGACCTTGGAAAGCACCCAAACGACGAAAGATTTCAATATTAACAGTAGTTATCGACCTACAAAATACTAGGGTAGCGCCTCGCGTAACTCTCGCGTAAACGTTAGCTTCTGGCAGACACTGCGACCTCTGAGAACTATTAGAAAGAAATTGCCTAATTGGGTAATAAATTTACAGGTGTCGATTACTGTAGATGTTTTTCACGGCTTATTTTGGTCGTCTGATCTTTCGTCTCATCTGAACTTTTGGGGTTGTCCGAATAGTAGGTGGGGTTGTCCGAAAAAGTTTTCCCTTGATATATTACGTGCTAGATTGAAGATTGATTGGAGTTTTGATCCGATTGATCCTTCTTGACATAACGTGGATGGCAAGCGAGTGGGCCAGGCAAGCGAGTGGGCCACCCCACCAACTTTTGTAACTTCAAAGCGACTTATCTCAACAACGCGATAATATTATTGCTAGATATTGATACAGTAGATTACTCTATATTAAGAGTATTAGTGTTGCATGTGCGCGAGTTGTGCCCAGTCTCCTTGCACCTGGTGCAGCGCCTTTGAGCGCGCTGGCTAAGGCCTGATCGCGCTCCTCCTTGACGCTCTTCATGAGCAATCTGCTGGTCAGCCTCATTTTGAGCTAGTATATCCTCTCCAGCTCCCTTTGTGAGTACTCCATGCTTCTGTATACGCCTTTTAGAGCGCTGCCTACGCGCTGAGGCTGCGCTGTTAGCCTTCTCAAGACTAGAGATCCGATCGCGCATCAGCTCAGCAGACAGCATCATCACCTCAGCGCCCTTCTTCAGCTGGTCAATCGCCTCAATGATCGAAGCTGGTGATGAGCTCTTATGCTGGCGCACGCGCTCACGTATAAGGCTTGACTGAGCCTCAAGCTCACGCGCGTTGCTCGGCGTTTGAGCTACCCAGGGAGCATCTGGTAGAGCTGCTGGAGGAGTAGGTGTACGCAGCTGTACATCTAGCTTTGATAGAACAGCCTCTGGTTGTAGAGGAACAAGGCCTGCGCCGCGGAAGGCTGAGTAGATATTAGCTGGCGTGAACGCTCGATCAAACGCAGCCTTAAACGCAGGCAGAAACTCTAGCTTGGTGATGTGGTTGATGTGGTTGCGCATGAGGCTCTCCACCTCACGGCTATACGCGCGCTTTAATGGCGAGAAGCAGCCAACATCAAGTGGCTGGAGTAGGTGAGATGAGTGAGGAGGCATACAGAGCGTATGGATATTGTTCTCCTTACAGAGCTCCTGGAACTCTAGAGATTGGTGGCTCCTATGGCCATCAATAATAAGCAGGCGACGCGCGCCTATAGTACGAGCCTGCGTGTGAGCGTTGAAGTGCTTTAGCCACTCAACTCCAAGCTCATTATTCGTCCAGCCATTATCGCTGACTGCGATCGCCCAGTCGCGTGGGATATCCTCCTCATACCACGCTGATAGGTGGTACTGACCAGCGAAGATGAGGAACGGTGGCACTGACCAGCCACCAGCGCTGATGGCAGCAATCAGCGTTACCCACTCGCGATTGCCTGGCTGAATACTCTTCCGCCGGCCTCTTCTCTCTGATCCTGTTATAACCAGCTGCGTTGTAATCTTGCCCATCATAAAGCCAGCTTCATCAAAGTTGTAGACATCCTCATCGCAGATACCCTGCTCAGCCTTTATCTCTTCTACAAGCTTAAACCACCTCTTTATTAATGTCGCATCCTCACACATAGCTCTCTGCCTATCGTACGCTCGGTTGAAACACGTCCGAAGACTGTCTGTACGCTTAACAAAGTTGGCTGGCCACTTCTGCCCAACCTGGCCAGCGCCGCGCGCAGCCAGCAGCTTATCAGCCATATCGCGTGCAGCTGCGTAGGTAGGCGCAAACCCGCGCTGATCTAGGTGAAGTATATAGCTAATAATCACCTCCTCTTCTCTCTGGGTAAGCTTCCTTGAGTTAGGCTGGCAATCGCGTCGTGCAGGTATACCAGCGCGTCGGCGCGTGAGTGTCATTCGGGCGACTTCAAATGTCCGCGCAGCGTCTCTATTAGACTGGAGCTGGTTTCGGGTAGTAGCTGAGATAGCTAGCTGTATATCAGCTTCATAAGAAGGGTTTTGGGATTGTTTTGGTGGAGCCATAATTGATTGAAGTTAGGTAGATGCAAAAAGTTGGTGGGGTGGCCCACTCGCTTGCCTGGCCCACTCGCTTGCCATCCACGTTAGTATTTTGATCAATATCGACCTAGTCGCTGTCGCTATCAGTATCCCAATCGTCTATATCGTATATCCAGATCAACTCAGCCTCTGATAGATTGTTTTGGTGTTGACTTTGAGGCTGAAATCCAGCCTGCCTCCAACTCCGAGTACACTGTATTGCAGCTAGCAGTTGAGCTCCAATCTTCCTCCGCCAAGGCTCTAGTAGATCGCCAAGCTCGCTGAACAGACGCTCGCATTGACAGCTACTAGCTGGTATAGTGATCGTATCAAGGGCCATCTGAGACAGATGGAGATATTGCAATCTCATCCCAAGCCAGTACGTTACTGGATCACCCTCACCAAGCTGCTGTTCTGTCCACGGTAGCTCATATCGACGCCAGCGATCTAGCTTATCTAACTCAGTGATATCAAGCGCGGGCTCGCCGATGATCGCAGCGATTGCCTCGTCAATACCGCTCGATCGAGGCGGACGTACGCGGGAGTTTGATGGTGTTGTAGGCCTGTACTCCGCCTATAGTTGCTTCAATCTAGCCTCGTTGTCGTGCATCCACTGAGGTTTATCGCGCCAGGCTCTCGCGCAGTAGCCTTGATAAAAGGGATGGAGGGAGGTCGCGGTGTAGTAGGCAGGCGATAGATCGAGCTTAGCGTAGTATGAGGAGGCTTTTGACTACGCGGCCTAGAGGTTGATTGCGAGGTGGTCTTCTGGAGACTTAGCGTAAGCGTTAAAGTTAACATCGCGATACGATTCAACTATAGCCTCGTAAGCTCTAAGGACGTACTCAAATATAGGTATAACCTTATAGATCGCGCCATGTTTGCCTTATTTGCCGCGAGCCTCAAGGCGTTTAGTAGCCTCCTTGAGAGGCTTCAACACCTTAGTATACTTAGTTACCACTGCCTAATTAGCTGTATTAAGGCTAGTTGACCTCATCTACAATGGTACAACAGGCTTCTTCTTGTTGTGGATAGTCGCGTAAGCGTCGTCACGAGCAGTACGCTCAATATGGTAAGCGGCATATAGGTTGATCGCGTCAGATAGCTGTACAGCGCGTACAAAAGCGTCATAGTAGCTATTCTATCGTGTAACGACAGGTTTAATAGGCTCTAATATTAGCGCGTTGTGTGTGTACGATTGCTCGTTAACTAAGCGCTAAAGTGAGGCAAATAGATCGTATTAGAGAGGCGTTTTGATATAGTTAATGATATCAATCAGCACACCAAGTGGACCGTGTTTCCGCTAATTTTGCAGGTATTTTGTCTCTGTAGTATACTCGTGTACGTCGTCGTTGTTGTACGCGTCCTCGTCGATGCCGAACATGATCATTTAGCCAATAAGATTGAAGATATGAGGTGAGCAGCGTAGGCGACGCTCAGGAGCTGCATACTGATATTGCTCAGCCATATGGGCAACTGCTCGATCGTTTGAGTACGCGTTATCGAGGACAAAGTAACCGAGCTTAGTGTAGCTAATATTAAACTCCTCCAGCGTTCGTGCGATCGTATCACCAATCCTATCGCCCAAGTGTGCATAGTTGCCAACAAGCAAGTCAAGCAAGTTTCTGCCTCAAACTTGACTTGATTGGAAGTAATTTGTTGCTTGCTTGACTTGCTTGGTTTGCTTGCAAGTACTTGGTTTACTTGACTGCTAAAGGGACTAAATATGTCGCGGTGTGAAAACAGCGCATATGCAGAAGGAATTGAACGATTAAACTGCGGTTCTATTGTATGTTGCTATAAACAATGCATGTAGTAGGAAAGCAGTAAGGTGTAGAGCAGCGGCCAGGTGTACTACGTAGTACAGCAGTGGAGACATGAAACTGTGATACGTGATACAAGAGGAAAGACTCCAAAACCGTGACATAATACCACTACATTACTATAGCTAACTGTCCCACTCAAGTATATTGTAATTATCCAAAAGTTCCTTGTCTGAAAGCTTAGCCTTACTATAAATAGTTGGTTTATAGCCAGCTCGCACGCAGGATCTCACTAATTGAAGAGCTGCAAGTAGCTCACTGCCTAGAGCTCGTCGTTTTGGCTCAAGTAGGTCGCCAAGCTCGCTAAAGAGGCGCTTGCAGTCGCTGCTCGACGCTGGGATAGTCATAATATCGATTGCAAACTGCGCCAAATGCGGGTATTTTGGCAATAATTGGATCCAGTATTGGACTGGATTGCCATCCGCGGTATACTGCTCCTGCGTCCACTGCGGCTCCTGTATTTTCTAGCGCTCAAACTCGTCCAGCGGAGCTTCTCGGCCGACGTTTCGGCCGAGTATAGCGCTGATTGCCTCGTCTATGTTGTTGCTACTCGTCGCAGCCGTGTACGACTGGCGTGGGCGCTGAGGTTTGTACGCCGCCTAGAGCTGCTGAAACGCCACGTTGGCATTGCTGAGCCACCCAGGTTTGTCAGCCTAGGCCACATCGCAATAAG